CAAGCCCACAAGGAGTGATCCATGAACACAAAGCCACCAGTAATCCACGAGCATGAACAGGAGCAAGTCCTGATCAGAGCCGGATGTAGTGCATAAAAGGGAAAAAAAAACCCACCAAACCAAAACTAAAAACAAAACCAAACAAGTCATGAGCACAGCTAGTGTAACCCAAAACCAAAAGGAAAAAAAGAATTTTTTAAATTCTGTCACAAAGTTTGGTATAACAGTACAGATGTGGCCCACGGCGGGGGGAGAACAAACACCAAACCAAAACTAGAAACAAAACCAGAACAAGACATGATTACAGCCAGTGTAACCCAAAAACCAAAAGAAAAAAGTTTTTAAATGTCACAAAGCTGTAAAACAGTAATTAAGGGCCAGAATTGATAGGGTGTTCGCACTGCACCCGGACAACCCTAGTTTGACCCTCAGCATCCAGTATGGTCCCCGAGCACTGCCGAAGTAATTCCCGAGTGCAGAGCCAGGAGTAACCCCTGAGAAGGAGAGGCAGGGGGGAAGAGAAGGGGACGAGAGGGAAGGGAGAAAGGGAGGGAGAAACAATCTGACCACTATCTGACCTTATCTATACCATAAATCTTTGGGTGGGGGGTGATAGATGGAACCTGGGGACACTGGTGCTGGGAAATGGACACTTGTGGAGGGATGGGTATTGGAATTCTGTATGACTGAAGCCAATCATGAACAGCTTTGTAAGGGTCTATTTCACAGTGATTCAATTTTAAAAAGTAAAAAAAAAAAACACGTTAATTAATGGCGTGTGCAAGAATGTCACTTTGCATTTCAAATAAATGTAAAGATAGGACTGGAATGATAGTACAGAAGGTATGGCATTTGCCTTGCACAAACCAGCCTAGGTTGAATCCCCAGAACCTTATGGTCCCCAAGTCTCACCAGGAGTGATCCCTGAGTACAGAGCCAGAATCAAATTCCAAGCACTGCTAGGTGTGACTCAAACACCAAAACAAATGTAAAGATAATTAACACTCTTTCAATTTTTTTGAACCTCTTAAAAATGATATGAAAAAAGATGTAACAAGTTTATGGGGCTGGAGCGATAGCACAGTGGGTAGGGCGTTTGCCTTGCATGCGGCCGACCCGGGTTCGATTCCCAGCATCCCATATGGTCCCCTGAGCACTGCCAGGAGTAATTCCTGAGTACATGAGCCAGTAACCCCTGTGCATCGCCAGGTGACCCAAAATGGGAAAAAAAAAACATAAAAAGTTTATGGTGTAATCAACCTTTATAAGGCAAACACTCATATAAAACCAACCATGAGGATAAGAAAACAACTGGGCCAAGGAGATGTAAAGGGCTGGAGCACAAGTTTTGCAAGGGTGAATCCAGGTTTAGTTGCCAGCATCACATAGTACACTGAGCACCATTAGGAATAACCCACAAGAACTAAGCCTAGAATGGCCCAAAAAAATTAAAATCAAACTGCTGTTCACCCCTAAAGCTTCCTGTCTTTTAAACACCGTATCTAGAATTCTCAGGCTGCTGACCTAGAATGTACCAGAGACTGTATTTAGCCTGTTCCATACTTGGTGCAACTCAACCTACATACTCCTAACAAGCTGAATGACAGATTTAAAATTCAAATATTACTCAGGCCCAAATCCTCTGGGACAAGACTTAGTATTCAGAGGCACAAAATGACTGGGTTCCCTCTTTATTTTTATTATGCTGGAAATCAAACCCAGGATTCATGCATGCAAAGTATGTGCTCTACTGAACTCTACTGGCTGGTTTTCCCACTATAAAAAAAAGATTTGGGGCCATATTTGGGGCTCAAAGGGCTCAAAAGCTTACTCTGTGTAAGCTCAGTACAGGTCTTATTTTCAGCATTGCCTGGTCCCGTGAACATCACTGGGTGTGAGCCCCTCTGACCTGAAACAACATTTCAGGGGTAGAGGATGAGGCCCAGTGATAAAGTGCATACCCTGTTCTCAGGAAACCTGGGTTTGACCCCCTGTACCCCCACCCCACCACCCAATACACACAGAGACACATACACATACAAAAAACACCACTTAGTATGTAATTCTAACATTAGAATTTCAATTTAACTAGCTCTAGTAACTCTAAAAGATGCTTCCTGGGGCCAGGAAGCAAGCCCAAAGGACAGAATGCATGCATGCTTTGCATTCAGGAAACCTGGGGTTCAACCCCCAACACCCTATAATTCCCTCATTCTAACATGAAAGTGATCCCAACTGCCAGATGTGGGCCTAAAATTAAGAAAAGACAAGACAACAAAGAATACTATTTTATATAATGTGGACAACGTATTATTTTACAACTACAGTCCTACACTGCATAATCACAGATTTAATGACTTTTTCTTATATGGTTAAAAAAACAATGGAGTCCAAGCATTACACAAAACCTTTTTTTTTTTTTTAAATGCGCAAGTATACTAAAAAAACAAGGTGCAGGACTGGAGCGATAGAACAGCAGGTAGGACAATTACCTTGCACATGGTTTACCCGGGTCTGACTCCCAGCATCCCATATTGTCCTTCCCCCCCGCAACCACAGCACCTCCAGGATGTAATTCCTGAGTGCAAAGCCAAGAGTAATCCCTGTGCATTGCCAACTGTGACGCAAAAAGGAAAAAAAAAACAAGGTGCAACTATCAGTGATGATAATTAATGTGGTAAAATAACTTGTGGACTGTAGTACAAGAACATGCTCAGTTTCAGTAAGACTTTATTTATAACAGTGCATGGGGCGGGCACACAGAGCACCACTGACCCGGGCTGTGACAGATCCGTATATGGTCCCTGAGCCCTGCCAGGAGTAAGCCCTGAGCCTGGTCACTGGGTGTAGCCCCAACACAGACACGGTGGGGAGGAGGGAGCAGGTACTTATACTTGCACTACTTAGTCAGTCAGTTACACATTCTTTAAAAGAAGAAAAAAAAGGAAAAAAAGCATAAATGATTACTCTGGTCTTCAGGACAATGAGTATTATACTCTAGATAATCAACAGCACTGTAGCACTGTCCTCCCCATTGTTCATTGATTTGCTCGAGCGGCATCAGTAACGTCTCCATTGTGAGACTTGTTGTTACTGCTTTTGGAATATCAAATACACCACGAAGAGCTTGCCAGGCTGCCGTGCGGGCGGGATACTCTTGGTAGCTTGCCGGGCTCTCTGAGAGGGACTGAGGAATCAAACCCGAGTCAGCTGTGTGCAAGGCAAATGCCCTACCCTCTGTGCTAAAAGGGTTTAAATACATAAAATACATTCATGAAATCATGAAACTTTAGTTTTGGGGCCCAAAAACACGGCTGTTGTGGTCAGGGCTTGCTCCTGGCTTTGTGCTCAGAGATCACTCTAGTGGTGTTCAGGTGACCTAGAGTGTCAGGGATAAAACAGGTCAACCACAAGCAAGTGTCCAACCCATTAGACTACCTCTCTGGCCCTTAAAAATTGATATGATGAGCTTAAGTTTATAAAAATTTTTATCCATATGAAGCTCAAATCCCAGATCCCAGCTGCTCTTCACAAACTGATCCATTTGTCTTTTAAAATTAGTATCCTTCAGCTGTTTGGGGTTTTCCTGTTCCCAGGTACATTAATGACTGGAATTGTGCACAATGCTGATACGGCAAAATGCCAAAGATCTAGAGTAGTGGAACACCTTGAGGTGTCAGACTACTCTTGGCTCAAAGCTCAGGGATTGGTCCTGGCCGTGCTTAGGGAACCATGCAGTACCCAATATCAAACCCAGTCCTTCCACATGCAAAACATGCTCTCTTGAACTACCTCTGCAGGTACTCAAAGATTTTTCCTTTTTTTTCACCTGGTTTGGGGCCAAATCTTGGTGGTCATTCCCAGCTCAGTATTTAGAGGACCATGCAGTGCCAGGGAATGTACCTAGGCCTCCTGCATGTCAAGCATGCACAAAGCCCATTGAGCTATCTCTCTGCTCCTTCCCTCGAAGACTAGTTTTGTAAAAGCACAGAAAAATAAAGGGTAGAAGAAGGTTTCATGAAACAAGAAAATGTGAGATGAACCCCAAAACAATTTAAAGGGGATGGTTGAGGAATGAAAAATTGTTATTCCAGAAACATAAAAGTATGTTAGAAGTAACATACTAAGCATAGTTTTGGCAAGGCTTTTAAATTCAAGTCCTAGCAAAAGAGAAAAAGAAGAAAATCTTTTCAGACGGAAACAGAAGGAAAGGTTGAAGAGTAATGAGGAAGAACTGGGCAGACAGGGCCAGCTAAGAAAGCTGCCAAAAGAACAAGCTCAAGGAACCAGTCCCAGGCAATGCGAGGGGATGGGCGGGAGCACACAACAATACAATATAAAAATCACATGAGCCATACTTTACACACAGGAGAATGTTCCTGCAGGAGAGTTGGGATCCAGGTGGGGGTGAGGAAGCATAAAGATAGGCTGTAATGTCAGGCACAAGGAGATAAAAGTAAGGCAACTACCACACTGAGGCTGGTCTGGCAGGTCAGAGGCGGGATACTGAGAAAGGGGCAGTTTTAAAAAATCTTAAATTTAAGAGAATATGGATGAGGTTAATCAAAAAAAAGGGGGGGGGGGAGAAGAAACAAGGGAGCTATATACATCTTTAAGAAAGAGCTAAAAGATCAGAACAGCAATGTAAATATTAAAGCTGAATGACTGGATTCACTGGAATGTTATGCTATTCTTTCCACTTTTGAGAACCCCCAAAATTTCCACACCCAGGAATATAGGTGCTCAGTGGTAGAGTTCATGCCTTGAATGTATGAGGCCCAGGGTTCTCTCCACCAAAAAAAGAAAAGCACACATTTTTCCATAGTAAGATATTTTTCATTCTAAAGTGTTAGGCCTTCCTCATGATTCCCTCTCATTTTATTTTCAGGGACGAGTTGCACACTTTCTCCAGTGAGAATAACACTTTATGAATACCACTAAAAAATACTTAATGTCTCATGAAAAAAGTGTAATAGAAAATGAAGCATTTAAATTATTACCTTGACTTTTTTCTATATTATCTCCTTTTGTTTCCTCTTCTTTAATGGGGGAACTTATTCTGGGGTTTCTGCTTTGTCCCTGGACCATTTCTGCTAACAATTCTTCTTGAGAAGTTCGAGTTCTGGGAGCAACTGGAAGTGTCTGTTTCTGAGAGACTTATATAGGAAAAAAAAAAAAAGCAAATGCAATTAATATCATCAAAAATCAAAAATGAATGTCATATTTAACATATGCTTCCTTTGGCCTAAACATATGATTTTGAAAAAGCCCTAAGTGGCAACTTAGTTTTTTCTTATGCTGTTACTCTTATGCTATTACTCTTATTAAATCACAGTAATTTTTTTCTTTGTTGGGAAGGGAATACAGATCCTGGAGGTGTAATAATACCAGACCGAAAGCAGACTGGCAAAAGAAAGCTCCTATTCCAACCTCCTGCTCTCAAGCTCCACTTAACAGTATGGTAGTAATATATCAATATGGATATTAGACAAATCAGCTATTAAACTTGGTAAGAAAAAACTATACTCCATCTCAGTAAAAAGGCCAATAATTAGTAAGAAGCAAATAAGTTTCAGTTTTATTTCTTGCTATAACAATTTCAATTTTTAATTCAAATAAGAAGAATTTGAAAACTCTAACAAAAAATTTAATACCTGGGGCTTGAGAGAGTATAGTGGGTAGAGTGCTTGCCTTGCACATGGCTGAGCTGGGATAGATCCCCAGTACCATATGGTACCAGCAGGACTAATCCTTGATCACTGAGCCAAGAATAAGCCCTGAGCACAACCAGGTCCCCACTCCCTAGCCCCAGAGAAAAAAAAAAAAGCTAAATAAAATATGTGCAAATATAAATTTTAGAGTGGACATAGTTATCATACCTTATTCACAGAACATCCACTTACAACTGTAGTTTCTCAAACTGCTCAAATCTCCTTTTAAAACTGCTGTTAGGGCCAAAGCAATAGTATAGCATGTATGGTGCTGTCTTACATGCAGTCGACACAGGTTCTATCACCAGCATCCCATATGGACCCTACTAAGACCCACCAGGAGTAATCCTTGAGCAGTCAGGAGAAAGCCCTGAGCACAACAGGATGTAACTCCAAAACCAAAAATAAACTTCATCTCTTTCTAGACATCTCGCCAGCATCTTTATTTCACACCAAAGTGGAAAGCAATTATTATAGCTTACTCAAGAATTACAGAAACTTCGGTCCGCCCTTCACGCCCTACCGAGGCCACCAGTTGCCCCCCACGAGCGGCTCTCCAGCATGGCCACGACTCCAGAGCACAGAAACCAATTTCTTAACTATCTGACTTTCAGTAGAAATACTTCCAGGGTCAATAAGTAAAATAGCAGAAATCCAAAACCAACATTTAATTCTTGAACCCAGCTGTAGAAAGCAAATCACTTCACAATGCTTTTTCAGCATGTCTGATTGGGGGGAGGGGGGGTAAACTCTAAATAATAGTGGTGAATCTTTTATTGAAACAATGAATCTAATCAAAGCAGATAGAGTGTTAACTAGAATTCATCTGCCTCACAGGGACTGGGAGGGGTGAGGGGTGGGGTTTTATTGGGGTTCTTCATGGTAAAAAATAAGTATTGGTAAAGGGAAATGTGTTTGATATTTGCATGACTGAGACCTAAACCTGAAAGCTTTGTAACCTTTCCCACAGTGATTCAATAAATAAATAAATTAAAAAAAAAGAATTACAGAAACTTAAACATAATAATTTACTTACCTGTAGAATAGTTAGTTGTTTTTGTTACAGATTCTTGGGCTTCAGAGATAGCCTTCAAAATCAGATTCTTGTTAGCTTGTTTAGAAGGTGGAAGTGACGGTCTAAAAAAATGTCAAGGTACCGTGATTAAATTTTAGATCTGGGCACTTCAAATGCTAATCATTCATTCTATCCTTCCTTTAGGTTTTGCACAAACTAACTTGGCTCCAGAGTGGAAACTTCTGTCATTAAAACAAACAAAAAGAATCTAGGGACTGGAGTAGCAGCTTAAGTGGTGTAGCACATACCTAGTATGTGCAAAGTCCTGAATTTTATCCCTGGTAAGGCATGGCCTGCTGAGTACAGCCAGGGGGAGCCACATGATGGTCCACACTGTGCAATGCAAACTTCTGCAGAATCATCAGGTCCACATCAATGAAAGACACCTAGCACCCTAGGCATGACCACTTAAAAACTACAAAAAATATTGAATCTGGATCCAACTCCTTTCCACTTCATGCAAATTTCCAAAATCCTCTGCAGTTCTTGAGCAGTCCTTCTTTCATCACTGAAAGTATTTCTCAAATGGAAAGTAGCCTTTCACTGCTATATTTTTTGTTTTCATGACATTCTCTTTAAGAACCCCAGAAAACTCCATCAGGAATTTAAGACTAATTTATGGATATGGGCAGGTACCTCCTTTCAGGCTTTGCTGGCACTGACACGCTGCTGGAGATGCTTCCTGTGCGGGACCCACAATCATCATCTTCCTCCTCCTCTTCTCCATCATGATTGAACTTTTTTACTTTAACAACTGAACTTACCACAGGCAGTTTTCTCTTCCGAAAGTTTTCTTCCTGCAATCAGATAAATTTACTCTTACCTAGACTCAGAAACAATCAGGTTCTACCAGAGAATATATCTGCTCTTTAAGGAAAAGCCAATCAAGTTGGAGAGAGAGTATTAAGAGTACGGTGAACGCCTAACACCATATATTCCCTTGAGCATTGCCAATTGCATCCCTGGAGGCCCTAAGCACAGCCCAAATTAACAGCTGGCACTACAGGGATCAAACTACTAGCCTGACTACTGGAATTGGTGGGATGAGCACTGAGTCTCCTACACACTACCAAGGTAGATCTTCATCCCACAAAAATAGAAAACCCAATCATACTAAGAACAAAGAGAATAATTTCTTATAAAGATGTCCTAGTTTTTTATAAAAACATTTCCTAGTCTGTAACATTACTACTGTAATTACACTAAATTACAATACTAATGTAGTTATACATTAGTATTGTAAACCATGATACCTAAAATAAATTTGGGGGGCCACACCACACCTGGCTAGGAGATTCTCAAGGCTTATTCCTGGCTCTGGACCACACCTGGCTAGGAGATTCTCAAGGCTTACTCCTGGCTCTGGACCCAGGGATCACTCCTGGTAGTGCTCAGGGAACCATATATAGTACAAGGAATGAAACCCAGGAGGGCTGAAAGCAAGGCAGGCAACTCACTTGCTGTTCTTTCTGGTCCATGAAAAATATGTATCTACATATACATATATATTTTTAGGGGCTGGAGACCAAGTATAGAGTAGGGACATGGCCGACCTGGGCTCAATCCAAAGGATTCCATTTGGTCCCTGAGTTTGTCAGAGTACAAAACCAGGAGTAAACCCTGAGCATCACCAGAGATGGCCCAAAAACAAACAATAAAATATTAAAAGGGAAAAGAAATCTATATTTTTGACCAGAGCCATGGTTCAGTGGTAGGGTACTTGATTTGCACACAGTTGACCATGGTTCAATCTCTAGTACCCCGAGCCTACCAGGAGTGATCCCTTGAGCACAGAGCCAGGAGAAAGTCCTAAGAATCACTGGGTGTAGCCAAAAAAAAAAAAAAAACCCAAAATGTTTATTTCCTTGCATATAAGGCTGACAAAAATTTAAAAAAAAGTATATAGGTATTTAAGATTTTTGTTTTTTGGGCCTCATCTGGCTTTGTACTCAGGGGTCACTCTTGGCAGTGCTTGGAGGACTGTACACGGTACTGAGGACTGTGAACCAGGATCATTCACATACAAGACAAGTGCCTTAGCCCTTGTGCTCTCTCCACAACCCCTCATTATGTGATTTAATTTTCTTTATGCATATTTAATGTGTATATACACATATATACATATATATATTTGGGGCCACACCTACAGCTTACTCCTGGCTCTGCACTCAGGAATCACTCCTGGCAATCCTCTAGAGACCATACGAGATCTGAAAATTGAACCTAGGTCAGCCGCATGTAAGACAGGCAACCTGCCTGCTATACTATCTCTGGAACCCTAATGCATACACTTTTATGTAAAATTTTAAATACATATACTTCCAAGTTTCTTTCAAAAAAATATTAGTATTCCATAGTCAACTTTTAGGCAATCAGAGCCTTCCATTCCCTTATAAACAGCATGTAACACTCCTAAGGAAATTAGTAATATGGAGTTAGTTTACTGTAGTAACTGCACTGCACTGTCCTCCCGTTGTTCATCGATTTGCTCGAGCGGGCCCAGTAAAGTCGACACATTACTGTGTTTGGCATATTGAATACGTCACAGGTAGCTTGCCAGGCTTTGCCGTGCGGGCAAAATACTCTCTGTAGCTTGCCGGGCTCTCCAAGAGGGGCGGAGGAATCAAACTCGGGTCGCCCTGGTCAGCCGGGTATAAGGCAAACGCCGTACCCGCTGTGCTATCCTCTAAGATCAACCTAAAACCTCTCTCAAAATGATATGGGGAATTAAAACCATCTCAAATATTAATAGCTCAGAAAAAAACTAATCAAGATATAAAGTATCTGTAGAAGTCAGTGATAGAAGGGAAATCTGGTTGAGATGACCTACTGAACAGTACACTGAGCATTTGTATATTTAAGTATCAAAAACTGCTAATTTTCTGACCAGAAAGACAGTGCATTGAGTAGGCAACTTGCCTTGCATGCCATCAACCCAAATCAATACCTGGTACCGGGGCTGGAGCAATAGCACAGCGGGTAGGGTGTTTGCCGTGCACGCAGCCAACCCCGGGTTCGATTCCCAGCATCCCATATGGTCCCCCGAGCACCGCCAGGAGTAATTCCTAAGTGCATGAGCCAGGAATAACCCCTGTGCATCGCTGGGTGTGACCCAAAAAGAAAAAAAAAATACCTGGTACCACAGCAGTCCCCAAGCAATACCAAGAGTGATCCCTGAGGAAGCCAGGAATAAACCCTGAGTAACACTGGGTATAGTCCAAATTTAAAAAGAAAAAAAAAATAAAGCAAAAAACAAAAACACTAATTTTAGTTGGGGGTATAGCTCACCAGAGAGTGATTGCATACGTGAGGCCTTGAGTTCAAATCACAGGACCACAAAAAGTAAATAAAACTTACTAATTTAAAGCACATACAAACCTCAATATTCATTTTTTCTGAGTTGTTTCTGAAAAAGGGACTGTAAGTCTCTTCTAAGCTGTTAAGCACTTCTGGTTCACATAAACGTCCTGTTTCATATACCCGGCTGTTCTGTACATCAAGTTGCTTGGCAGCATGAATACTGTTCTGCTGCTGTTGAAATTGAAATCTATTTAAATGAGTACTACTATCTGCATTTCGACTTGCAGGTGGTCGATAAATTTCAATAGAAGGACGAGAAGAACTGTATGTAAGTGTCACTGTAGGTTTTTTCTGAGATAAGGGATTCTCTTGTACAAAATTGAGGTCTTCATCAATGAGATCATCTGGTTCTGGCTTAATATCAATGACATCTTCAGAGGGTGCTGGTTCCCTCAGAGGTTTCACGGTTGACATTAGCCGGGTTGCAGCTCCATCATCATAACTCTGTCTATTTGAAACAACACACAAATTATATCAAGATTAAGAGTACTGGGGCCCAAGTGACAGTACAGTGGGTAGAGCACTTGATTTGCACACAGTCAACAAGGGTTCAATTCCCAGCATCACATGTGGTTCCCCCCACCAAGCCTGCCAGAATTAAGTTCTGAGCACTGCCAGAGATGGCCCCCACCAAAAAAAAGTACTTAGTATAACAGGTAGGTATTTGCTTGCCTTACATGTGGCCACCCTGGGTTTGATACTTGGCACCACATATGGTATACCCCAAGCACCTCCAGGAGTAATCTCTGAACTGAGTAAGGAGTAAGCACTGAGCACCTCCAAGTGTGAACCAAAACAAAATAAGAAGTCCACCAGGAATGTGACTCTCTGTGATGAAGTGTTTCCCTCATAAGTGTGACACAATTTCTGATGTCACACTGAGCACCATCAGGAGCAACTCACAAGCACCAGGCCTGAGGTAGGCCTAGGCACAGCAAGCTGTGACCCCTCCCCAAGACAATAAAAAGAAAGATATAGTTCAGGTTCAGCACACACACTGCATATAAGAGGCCTACGTGAATCCCCGGCATCTCAAAGTACTGCAAGCACTGCCACAACCCCCCAGCACAAAGCTAGAAGCAAACCCTGAGCCCCACCAACTCTGGCCCAAAATCCATGCCCCATAAGAAAAAGAAAGAAAAATGCTCAACCTCACTTCAATTCTTCCAAAGTCTGCAGAATACAGCAAATTAAAGATATAAAAACTAAATATCTCTCTCTCAATCTCTCTCTCTCTCACACACACACACAAACACAACACTCATTTACACAGGCATTATTTTATACCTGACATTAGTGGTTTTCTGCTCCTGTGAACTTGCAGAAACTCTGGAATCTCTTTTTTCAGATCTAGAGCTAGAAACTGCAAGGGGTGGCACTGTAGCTTCGTGCCTTCTCTCATCTCCTCGACTGAAAGTGCTCTTATTTGAAGGCACATTACTATCAAAGATGTTGGTGTCAGAAGACTTTAAACTAGAGGGATCTAGAAAGCAAATAGAGAACTTTTAAGCTGTTTTTACTACCTAAAACCTTCTTTTATGTTTAAACTATCACCAATTTAAAAGCAACACATGTACTACCAACGCATTTTAAAAGGTTAACTATTACCCCACACATAGTAATACATAAGGTGAATAAATTACTGTATTACTAATACTGCATTTCTAAATAATTTTAAGCATATGAATACTGAAACATCCTTTCATACACATCTAAATTTTCTTAAGATATGAGGCCAGAGATAGCACAGTAAGGTGCCTGCCATGCACACAGCCAACCCTGACTTGATCTCCAACAACACATACGATCCTACAAACTCTGCTAGGAATGATCCCTGAGCAGACCCAGGAGTAAGCCCTGAGCACAGTCAGATGTGGCCCAATGGCACCCCCACCACCACCCCCAAAAAAGATGTAATCACCCTTCTCTTGTTTAATGTACTGATCTTAATAGGTAAATTCATTTAAAGCGCAAATTGTTTTCAAAGTTGTTTTCTTCCCAAGACAAAACAAAAATTAGAGTAAGAGAGAGACCTGAACAAGCTCAAGCACATGCTTTGCATACAAGAGGCCTGGATTTGATCCCCAGCATCACATCGTCCCCCATTCCAACCCAAGCATCATTAGTAATAATCTTGAGCATTGCCAGATGTGGACCAAAATCAAAATAGTCAGAGAGTAGTACAGCAAGTAAAGCATTTGTCTTGCACACAGACAACCCACTCAATCTCCGGCAACCTATATGGTCCCCAAGTACACCAGGAGTGATTCCTGAATACAGAGCCAGGAGTAAGCCCTGAGCACTCCCAGGTGTGGTCCAAACGCAAAAAAAAAAAAAAAAAAAAAAAAACAAACCTTAGAAACCTCTGTCTTTATAGTACAGCAGGTAAGGCGCTTGTTTGCAAGGGACACAGCTTACCTGGGGTTAGCACCACCAGGAGTAACCCCTAAGCATTACAGAGTGTGCCCCCCTTACCCCCCAAAAAATTGGAAAGAAAACAACCATAAGTTATATTAAATTCCCAAACTATCCAGATTTTATCTTACCAGTTGTAACAGAGCGAAGTTTATCTAATACACCATGAAGCCTAAAAGAAAAAAAAGTTTTTAATAAAGAAAAATTTTATTTCAGCTGCCATTCTAAATGTGATGACACTCCAAATTATTCTTCAGATATATACTGACAAAATGTACTTAATGCCTAAGAGGTATTGAGTTTCACGTTATTATTAAACCATTCAATAAGTACAATTTATATTTATTCTATCATATAGTTTCTGAGACAACTAATTTCTAAAAAGTGTAAAACTGATCATCTCAAAATGTACTATCACTTCATTGTACTACTATTGTCAAAACTAATGCTATAAGGATACACAGACTACAACCTTGCTTATAATATAACCTATCTTAGTTTATGTACAAAATAAATTTGCCTCATAGTTCTTCCAAGAGGCCATGCCTCCTAAAAAAACAGAAAATCATGACATTTTACTCAAAACCCAGTCACAGGACCAGGAATGTAGCTCAGTGATAAAGAGTACCTGCCTTGCACATGATACCCTGCTGAGCTCAAGAACAGAGAGTAGAGCAGGGAAAGGGGGAGGGAAAATAAAAGGGGAGAGGGGTGCAAAAAAAAAAAGCCAAGAAAAGAATTTTAAAAGCTGGAGAGACAGTAAAGGAGGTAAGGCATATTGGTGGCTATATTGGTTTCATCCATGACACCAGTCTCCTGAGTACTGCCAGGTACCGCCCTGGAGATCCTCTAAAGCTGCTGGGTAGCATCACAGGGCGTAGAACAGTACAACTTTCAGTCTTTCCACTGAATAACCAGTCAGGTTGGACAAGAATTGCCTGTGACAACCCTGGCTCTCCCACCACCAATAGGAAATTAAAAGCCAGTCAATTGCCATTCCCCAAGGATAATTATTACAGAACTCCAAAGAAACAGAATAGTTTGGGCTGGTGTCAAGTAATACTTTGGAAAAGAAATATGATACAACACAGACACCATCACTTGCATCATTTAAATTCAAATTCAACTAGCCGTCTGTATAAGAAATTTTTCAAAATAATCCATCAAGTTTCCAATGCAATGATTTCAGAGAAAGTCAGGTCATAAAAGAACGTGGAACAGGGGGCCGGAGTGATACTACACTGGGTAGGGTGTTTGCCTTGCATGCGGCCAACCAGAGTTCTATCCCCAGCATCCCATATGCATCCCAGCACGCTGAGCACTGCTGCCACAAGTACTTCCTGAGTGCAGAGCCAGGAGCAACCCCTGAGCATCGCTGTGTGTGATGCCCTCCCCCCAGAAAAAGTGGACCGGGCAGAAGACAGGACTACAACGGAATGGAGCACAGCACTGTATGCAGGAGACCTAGGATCAATCCCTGGCTTTCAAGAACTCTGTAAGGACTAGTTACTGAGCAATGCTGGGTATGGCCCAAAACCCAAAACAAGTTTGATGGGGGGGTTAGGCCATACCCAACTGTGCTCAGGGCTTACTCCTGGCTCTGCACTCAGGTATCACTCCTGGCGGTGCTTGGGGAACCATATGGTGTGCTGGGGATTAAACCCAGGTCGGCCATATGCAAGACAAAAACCCTACTGTACAATCACTCCAGCCCTAAAAGTTCATTTGATTTTTAGAACACATCTGGTAGTGCTTAGGGCTTACTCCTTGCTCTGTACCCAGTGATAACTCCTTGTGATGCCTGGAGACCGTAGTGGTGGCAAGGATCAAGCCTGGGTTAGCCAGGTGCAAAACAAGTACATGACAATCCACTGTACTACTCTCAGATCCCCAAAAATTTTTAAATAAAGGGGTCACAGAGATAGCAAACAAGCTGAGCACATGTTTTGCCTGCAAAAGGCCCCAGTTTGATCCCTGGCACTGCATAGTCCCCTAAGCAGTGCAGGGAGTGACCTCCAACACAGTGCCAGTTGTAATTAAATAAGTAAGAAAGAGATGACATTTCATAAGAGAGGTCAGGCTCACTCCCTGAAATCACGTGGTTCCCTAAGCATTATAACAATGGAGCTGAGGAGGCCCAATCCTATTGGATGTGGTCTAAAGAAAGAAAATTAGGATTGGGACAATCATATAATGGGTAAGAGCAATTACCCGGGCTCAATCCCCAGTATCCCATAAAGTACCCCAAGCCTGCCATGACTGATCCCTGAGCAGAGCACCAGGAGTAAGCCCTGAGAACACCAGATGTAACCCCAAAACTAAATGGAGGCTGGAAAGATAATACAAAAGCACATGTGCTTTGAAAAAGAATATAGAAAATTATATTTATTTCTACTTAATTTCTACTTGCCTTTGTTTGGGGAGGTGGGGGTCACACTGGTGGTGTCCAGGGGTCTTGCAGTAGTACCAGGGATCAACCCAGACTTCCCACATGCAAAGCATGCCTTGCATGTGTTTCTTAGCCTGCTCTTTCTCTTGCTTCCATGACCCCCAGCCTCTTCCCCCAAAGTGGCCTATTTTTGTTTTGTTTTTAATATGCAGGGAATCTGTCTCCCAAACAGTGCAGAGGCTGCCCAGGGTAACCCCACCCCCAGTAATTTTTGACCAAGTGAACAGAGTACTAGGACACAGGCTCTAAATTGTCAGGACCCCGACCCCCTAGCAGTGTTCAGGGGAACACACGATGCTGGGGTTCAAATCAAGGTCAGCAGCATGCAAGGCACATAAATACCTTAACCCCTAGACTCTCTCCAGCCCCAATGCTGCCAATTTAAAAATACCAAGCCTTTAAAAAGTTCTACACTTTTACAACTGCTAAGCAATCTTAACCATAATAACCTAGCTGCTCCTAAGCTTTAAGTCAACAGAGAAAGCAATTTAGAACATCAATCTAGTCCAAAATATACCTAAAGGTGCCATATAATAATAGAGGTTAAAGTAGTTTCCTTGCACACAGGCTACCCCAGTTCGATCCCTAGCACCAAACTGCCCATCCAAGCACTGAGCTGGAAATAGTCCCAAGCAGTGTTGGGTTTGGCCCAAAGCACCCTACCCAAAAATTATTTTTTAAAAATCTGTGATTGGGGCTGAAGCAATAGCACAGCGGGTAGGGTGTTTGCCTTGCACGCGGTTGACCCGGGTTCGATTCCCAGCATCCCATATGGTCCCCTGAGCACCACCAGGAGTAATTCCTGAGTGCAGAGCCAGAAGTAATCCCTGTGCATAGCCGGGTGTGACCCAAAAAGCAAAATAAAAATTTCTGTGATTGGTTTTCGTTAGAGAAAGGAATAGATGAGGGGAAAAAAAAAAAACTAACTGATTTTAGAGAAAGGATTAGATGCAAAAGTTTACAAGGTTTTCAAAAGAAATTCAACAATAGTTAATATGCTAAAGAACTATTATGGGCTGAGCACGGTTACATGCATATTACATATGTTAGTAGATTTAATCCTCACAACAATTCTACATAGGTGACTTTCTCTTTCCAATGTACAGATGAAGAAAAAAGTCAAGAAGCAGATTCAGGATGCACTCTTGGCAGTATAGTTCCAGAAGGTGTATTCTCTCATCCACAACTGCCTCTCCACAATGATCCTGACTCATTTGTCAAGACCTTTTTTCAGGACTGGAGAGATGGTCTGGGATGGGTAAGGCACTTGCCTTACATGCAGTGGCAGCGGCCGTGAACCTGGTTCAAATCCCCAGGATTGCATATGGTCCCCTGAATACTGCCGGAGATCACGTCTAAGCCAGGACAGCCCCAGAACACTGTTGAATATGGCCCATCCACCACATTTTTTCAGAAGAAATGCCTATTCTGACATCTCAAATTTTGGGCTGAAAGTTAAAATATTCAGAAACATACCATACGGTGAATCGAATGGTGTTGTTCCCTAGAAACAGGGATAGGTCCTCTGTCATTTGGTCCTGACTTTTCTTGTTGGCTACCATCACCATAATGTAATCAGGAAGTTCTTCATCTAGTTAAAAAGGAAAAGTATACAAAAAAATTTTTAGGTTTTACCCAATACTTTCCTTTGCTTAGAAATCACTTACTTGAAAAATCTCAGTTCTACTGGAATTATGCCAAACAAGTTTCTTCTCTCTTCGTTCCAAAGGATAAAGGATAAAAATTATGAATAGGGGCCGAGAAATAGGACAGCAGGTAGGGCACTTGCTTTGCGCAGTCAACCCAGGTTCAATCTCCAGTACCCCATATGGTCCCCTGAGCCCACCAGGAGTTATCAATGAGTGCAGAGCCAGAAGTAAGCCCCGAACACTGCCAAGTACAGCCCCAAAACAAAAAATTTGCTTTATAAAAAATAATAATTAGAAATAACTGCCCAATTGTTATTAAATATTTTGAATTATAATACTAAACTTGGGAGAGTCTTGGGTTTTTTAAAGTTCACTAATTCAGAGATGCTTCCACATTTTAAAAAAAAAAGTTCTCAAGTATAGTAACTTTCAATTAGTTTGTGTTTATATTTCTAAATAATTATTTCTCAAGCACACCTTTATGCTTGATAAAAGAGATTATAACTGCTTAGTTTAGCAAAACTGCAACACCATCAATTAAACTTAGGGCCACAATTAAAGTCTACATTATTTAAAACTTCTAACAAGATTAATTTTAAGTTGGGAAGATAACTCAGATGAAATGTATGCTTTGTTTTTTACAGGTGCTGAGGGGTAAGGGGGGAACGAACAGTGGTAGTCAGGGCTTACCCCTGTTTCAACACTCAGTAATTACTCTGGCAATGCTGGGGGACCACAGGGGTTGCCAGGGACCAAACCCAGGTCAGTGGCATGCAAGGCAAGCACCGTACCCACTGTATTATTTGCTCATCCCAGGAATTTAAACCTTGCATGGAAACCCCAGGTTCAATCCCTGATATAGCATGGTCACCCCAATGGGAACAACCCCCAAGGATGGAAACAGGAGTAGCCACTGAGCCAGATGTACCCCCAAAATACAAAAAATTAAGATGTATGACGTAGCACTGTAGCACTGTCCTCCCATTGTTCATCGATTTGCTCGAGCAGGCCCAGTAACGTCTCCATCATGAGACTTGCTGTTACTGTGTTTAGCATATTGAATGTGTCATGGGTAGCTTTCCAGGCTTTGCTGTGCGGGCGAAATACTCTCAGTAGCTTGCAGGGCTCTCCGAGAGGGGCGGAGGAATCGAACCCAGCTCGGTCGGCCGGCTGCATACAAGGCAAACGTCCTACCGCTGTGCTATCGCTCCAGCCCAAAATGTATGACATATACTTTTATTTTTTGAAGCTGATACGGGAACCCAGCACATATTCAAAACATTTCCTACCACTGTGTTATAGCTGTGATCCTTATTCACCTTTATTTCAAATACAATGTAAAGGTGACCTCTGTTTACTAAATCAACATGAGGAAGGGAGGAGAGCTGGGAATCAGGCTCTGCGAGACCACTAGGGAACAACAAATGTGAAGCCCATGTTCTCAAGATACTTTGCCAGGACTTTCTGCCTGCAGCTCCACCACTCCATGTGAAGCTGCGGCTGCCTACTCCTGAACTGCAGACAGATCCCCTCCCTACTTGGGGTGGCCTATGCGGTTGCATACAGATCTACTCAACAAATCATACAATGCTTCTAGGCATTTGGTGAGGATGGGCAATCTCCAGCCTAATCCCTCAGCATCTTCCAGGTGATCTAACTATGAAGACACCAGAAAACCGATGAGGAAAACACATTAGTAGCCCAACAAGCTCATTAAGCGAAAACAGTATGACTGAAAACTGACTGAAGACTCCACCAACCAATTCAGTAAATGGCCAATGTCTTTATTGACCCCAAGATGAAGATATTTCATGAGCTCAAAGAAACAATGTCACAGGTAGTCAGCAAAGCACAAGAAAGTATGAGCTGAAGTTAAGAAAACTATAATTAGAAATGAAGAGCATGCTAGGTAACTCAACAGAGGAGCCACAGATAAAAGTGGGTAAGGTGCTTGCCTTGCACACAGCAGACCCCGGTTTGAACCCCAACATGGTCCCTTTAGCGCCACCAGGAGTGATTCCTGAGTGCAGAACCAAGACCTAATTCTGAGCACCACCAGGTGTGATCCAAAAACCAAAATAAAGCAAACCCAATAGAAGGCGCCAGAGTGATAGTATAGCAGGTAGGACACTTGTATTGCTGATTCAATCCTTGGCATCCCACATGGAACCATCTCACCTGAGCTGCACCAGGAGTTATCCCTGTGCCAGAAGCCTGCCCTGAGCACTGCTGGGTGTGGCCCCAAAACAAAAGAACTCATAGAAGCTCAACAGTAGATTAGCATCAACTGAGCAAAAGATCAAAGAGCTCCAAGGTGAGGAGAAGGAAACCACTGGGAAAGAGAAGAAATTATAAAATAAGTTTGAAAAAAAAAGGTACAGCATAAAAATAGACGTAGGCGGGGGGGAGGTGGGAGGGAAACTGAAAATAATGGTGATGGGAAACATATACTGGTGAAGGGACAGGTGTTGGAACATTATAGGACTGAAACCCAATCATGAACAACTTTGTGAATGTGTATCTCACTATGATTCAATTTAAAAAAAAAAAAATTGAGGCACTGGAGCAATAGCACAGCGGGTAGGGCATTTGCCTTGCACGAGGCCAACCCGTGTTTGATTCCCAGCCTCCTATATGGTCCCCTGAGCACCAACAGAGGTAATTCCTGAGTGCACAGCCAGGAGCAATCCCTGTGCATCGCCACATGTAACCCAAAAAAAAATTTTGAGGGGCCGAAGAAATAGTATATTACAGCGGGTAGGGTGTTTGCCTTGCATACAGACAATCCGAGTTCCATTCCCACCATCCCATATGGTCCCCCAACCACCACCAGGAGTAATTCCAGAGTCCAGAGCCAGGAGTAACCATTGAGCATTACTGGATGTGACCCAAAAAGCAAAAAGAAAAAAGAAAAAAAAAAAAAAGAGTACAGAATATCAGACCTACTGAGTGAGCTCAGACAGCAGACAGAACAATATAAGAATCATAGGAGTCCCTGAAGAAATGGAAGGCAGCTGTAATGAAGAAACAGTAGTTAATTCAAAATTTTCCCACAATTGAGGAATACAGGCACCAAAGTCTAATTGGCCTGAAGGATCCCCGCAAAAACCCCATAAGGAAAACTTTCAGAAACTAATATTAAATTCAAAATGAAGTAAAACAAAGTGATGGACTATTGAAAGCAGCAGGATGGAAAAAAAGGAGCTTACAAAGATCTTAAAAGATGTACATACAGGGGCTGGAGCAATAGCACAGCGGGTGGGGCGTTTGCCTTGCATGCGGCCTACCCAGGTTCGATTCCCAGCATCCCATATGGTCTCCCAAGCACCACCAGGAGTGATTCTTTTTTTTTTTTTGCTTTTTGGGTCACACCTGGCGATGCACAGGGGTACTCCTGGCTCTGCACTCAGGAGTTACTCCTAGCGGTGCTGAGGGGACCATATGGGATGCTGGAAATCGAACCGGGGTCAGCCGCGTGGAAGGCAAACGCCCTACCTGCTGTGCTATCTCTCCAGCCCCAAGGAGTAATTCTTGAGTTCAAAGCCAGGAGTAACCCCTGAGCATTAGCGGGTATGACCCAAAAAGAAAAAAAAAAAAAGATGTACATACAGTAGCACTGTAGCACTGTCCCTCCCACTGTTCGTCAATTTGCTGGAGCGGGCACCAGTAACGTCTCCCTCATGAGACCTGTTACTGTTTTTGGCATACTGAATACGCCAGGTAGCTTGCCAGGCTCTGCTGTGCAGGCGGGTTACTCTTGGTTGCTTGCCCAGCTCTCCAAGAGGGATGGAGGAATCGAACCCAGGTCGGCCTGCAAGGCAAACACTCTGCCCTGTGCATACAGTAGATCAAAAAAAGACTGTAAATCAGAAGAGTACATAAGGATATAGTAAAAAGCTCAAAGTAATGAAAACCTCACCAAGATATTCTATCCATTCAGATTTAAAGAAGGGATACAAAGTTTCGTTTTACATGATAGGGGCTGGGGGATTCACAGCCTGGAAACCAGTTTTTCAATAAGTATTGACAGAGCTTCTTTTTAAGATAGGACAAACTTCCTAACATGTGATGCAAGGTGCATATGTTAATTGACTTTACTCCTTTCTGATAATTCCATTTGCGATTCCTTGAAGTTTTGTAATATGAAATAAATTTGTTATATGCCAGCCAAGGGGTTGGGAAGTGATGGGATGGGAAGGAACCGGAACAATGGTGGAGGGAAGGGAACAATGGTGTCAGGATCAGTGCTGGAACACTGTATGTAAGAAATTGTAATGAACAATTTTGTTAACCATGGTGCCTTAAGAAAAATATGGAGGCTGGAGCGATAGCATGCCTTGCAACCTGGGATCAAACCTGGGTTTGATACTTAGCATTCCATATGGCCCCCTGTGCACTGCCAGGAGTAATTCCTGAGTGCAGAGCCAGGAGTAACCCGAGTACTACCAGGTGAGACCTAAAAAGGCAAATTAAATAAACTTAATAATCTTTTTAAAAAGAAACTTTGGGCTGGAGAGATAATACAGAAGGTAGGGAGCTTGCCTTACATGCCATCGACCCTAGTTCCATCCCCAAGATCCCATGATTTCCCCCAGGCCACCAGTAATGACTCCTGAGTGCAGAGCCAGGAGTCACCCCTGAACAATGCTGGGTATGGCCCAAAAATCAAAATCAATCCCCCCCCCAAAAGCAAGGTCCCAGAAGATCCCAGTTCTTAAGGGTCTTAAATGTGCTCCCTGACCAGCTCTACTTGACCCATTCAGGACCCCTTTGATGTGGCCAAGCAGTGGAGAGCATTTTGTGGGGAGCTTTTAGGTCACCAGCTGTGCTGAGTTTTTCCTGGCTCTACATTCAGGAATCACTCCTGGCAGTGCTGGGGGCATTGGGAGGGAGCATATGGAATGCTGGGTCAGCTATGTGCAAGACAAATGTCCTAGCTGCTGTACCATCATTCTGGGTCCCGTTGAGAGCATCTATTAAGATAGATTCTATCCCAGGCACACTTTCTTTTTTTAAAAAAAAAAAAAAGTAATTAAAGGGGAGTTGGGGGTGATGGGAAGGAACCTGGGGACAGTGGTACTGGGAAATGTACATTGGTAGAGGGATGGGTTGTTGGAACTCTGTGCAAGTGAAACCTAAACACGAAGAGCTTTGTGAGGATCTATCTCACAGTGATTCAACTAAAAAAAAAAAATTAAAAAGTGAAATCTGCCATCCCCATTCTCGCACTGTGTTCTGGAATAAATTAGACTATATATGAAAATACTTTATAAATTATAAAATGCATACTTTCACTAATTATTTTTACACTGGACTACAGTAACTTGTAACCAAGGCTTTATCGGTGTAGTTTTATTTGGCAGGGGCTATGCCTGGAGTGGGGGTTAAGTGGTGTTTCCTCCCAGCATTATACTGGTGGGTCACTCTAGCTGTGCTTCAGTGACTATCCAGTACCTTTAGGTGCAACCAACATGCTTTCATACTTCTGTGAACTAGAATTCAAGTTCTGGTGCAAAGAGGCTCAAAGGGCCGGGCACATGCTTCACGTGCAGGAGCCCTGGGTTCAACCTCTGGCACCATATGGTTCAAAGAACCACCAATGACTCCCGAAAGCACAAAATTCTAAAAAAAGGTTTTTCCATGGAATTAGATTTTGTTCCAAAACAAGTTCCTGGCACACAACTGGCATTCAAATGTTGAATGAATAAAGGAGGCTCAAGCCTATTTCACTTTTAATCTCTGAGGCTCAAGTTTTACATCTCTTAAATTTTCTAACAATCCTGACAATTATGAAATGTGGCCAACATGTGGTAAATAAGCAATTCTCGAACCAGAATGAATTCTTTTACACTCTTCAACGTTACTGAAAATTCCTAGAAATTCTTATTTATGTGTATTGCCATTTACCATATTAGATACTAAAACTGAATTTTGAAATATCAATTTATGGGGCTGGAAAGGTTAAAGTGCTTGCCTTGTAATGTGGTCAATGAACTTGATCCCTGGTCCCCTGAGCACCAGTACCTTTGAACTAACTCCCCGATCCAATTAAAAAAAAAAAATTTAGAACCAGGAAGATAGTTACAAAGAATAGAACATGCTTTACATGTGGGAGAGTCAGATTCAATCCCAGAGCAGAGAAGTCCAGAGCACAGCCAAGTGTAAAAACAAAGACAAAAATACCAATTTTTAATTCAGTTAAAATGTTACACGATTTACATTGACAGAATTTATAGTAAAAATTTTAAACCAAAAATACCTATGAAAAAACAATGAATAAGGGGCTGGAGAGATAGCACAGCGGGTAGGGCGTCTGCCTTGCATGCAGCCGACCCGGGTTCGATTCCCAGCATCCCATATGGTCCCCTGAGCACCACCAGGAGTAACTCCTGAGTGCTGAGCCAGGAGTAACCCCTGTGCATCGCCGGGTGTGACCCCCCCCCAAAAAAGGCAAAAAAACAAAAGAATAAGTGTTTAATATCCAATCAAAAGAGTAAAGATAGTTGGTGTGAGGGAGAACGTGAAAGGGCTAAAGTGCATGCTTTGCATGTAAGACTCCTGGGTTCAATACCTATACCCAAATGATCCTCTTTTACATCACCAGAGGAGCACCTCAGAGTGAGGTCCAAAAACAGTAGCTTGCAAGAAGTCAAAACCTGTTCTATTTCTGTTAAGGCACCACAGATGTACCCCTAAACACCACCAGGAGTAACCAGGACCATAGCCAGGTGTGGCACAAAACCAAAATGGTAACATCATGCATTGGTCTTTAAAGAAATACTGGCTGAGTTTGCAGCATGCTGATACATTTCACTATACATCATAGTAGAACCACCTTAATATCACTTTAATTGCAGGAGAAATTCAAAGTTATTTGTAAAGTGTCAAGATTATGAAGGTACACAGAAAATTTCCAAAATTCTGAAGTCAAATGGATGGTACAGTGGGGGTTTGCGTTGCATGGGGCTGAGCCAGGTTCAACCCGGGCCCCCCTGTAAGGTCACCCAACCCACATCAGGAGTAATTACTGAGTGCAGAGCCAGGAGTAACCTCCACGTGCCACCAGGTGTGACCCGAAAGACCAAAAATATATAAATAAATTACAAAATTTTCATTTTTGCTTAAACGTTGAACTTCGGACCAATAATTTAACTCTGGATTTAACCCCTCTTGTATGTGTATTCCACTCTGACCGCTCCCACCCCAGCACCACTAGGTCAAATCAAGCCCAAACTCCCCCAGCCCCCATAGCAATAAACTTTGTTACATTTTTGTCAATTTGTCAATACAATTAATTCATCCATTCATACTTTCCTTCCTCCCTTTTGAGAAAATGTCTGCCAAATACCCAACACACCCGCTTTTACAGAATCTAAGAGTGGCCAGTGAAAATGTCAAGCATCTGGGGCTGGAGCAATAGCACAGCGGGTAGGGCATTCGCCTTGCACGAGGCGGAGCCGGTTCGATTCCCAGCATCCCATATGGTCCCCTGAGCACTGCCAGTGGTAATTCCTGAGTACAGAGTCAGAAGTAACCCCTGTGCATTGCCAGGTGTGACTCCCCCCCCCCCCCCAAATATCAAGCATCTGTCCACATTTCTCTGCAAGCAGACCTGCCTGGAGAAAGAAGACCCTGGGCCCGAGGGCACCTGGACCCACTGTCATTAGTGGCAGTTAGGTACCAGTCGCAAGAGGTGCCAGCCCTGGGGACATGCTCAGCGCCTTCAAGCCCTAAGATCTGCCTCAGTAAGCAAGCACACGCAGAGCCTCAGTTTCCTTAGTCTGGGAAACTGGGGTTTTTATCCCCACTCCTAGTGTTCCCCTGGGTTGTCCCTGCTGTTCCTCCCACCCTTCCCCAGCCCCAGACTTGCCACCCACCATGCAAGCCTTGAGGCCCAAAATAAAGGGCTTATCCATCGCTGACCCCCCCCACCCCCAGCTATTAAAATATAAAAGGTTTTTCACCTTTCCCAGGCTTCCTGCTAGGGAAGGCCCATGCCCCACCTGCGCTGCGCTGCACTGCCCAGCCCTGCCCTGCCCTTCCTTCCTCAGACCAAGTCTCTACTGAATTCTGACCCGAGACCGGGGGTCCCGGGCGTGCTCCAACATCACGTCCGAACTGAGTGCGGTGCCCGGGCCCAGAAGTCAAACACTCAACACCTAAATCCTAAGAGAATCCAGGGGGGAAAAGGAGGCCGCACTGCAATAAAGGGGACACGTTAAGGGAAAAAGAGGGAACCCGGAGGGCGAGGGAAAGGAAGGGGGAGGGGAAGGGGGGACGGGGAAGGGGGACAGGGAGGGGGGGGAGGGGAAGGGGGAGGGGCGGTGCAAAAATCTCACCGACCCAAGGACTGGAGTTTGCAAACAGCCCGGAAAAAGCTGGAACTTGTCATTCGTAAATAATTCTGCAACAAAGATGCTAAAGAAAGAATTGATTTGGGGGGGTGGAGGGGGGAAGGATGACAGACACAAAACCTTATTTGAGGGGGGAAAAAAAAAAGCCACAAAAGACTCCAGGGAGGGCGCCGAGAAAAACCCAAAGGCCCAGAAGCGCTGGCAGGAAAACCCCAGGTGGACACAGACAGCCGCCGCCGCGGTGGCGGGGGACAGGGATGGGGATGGGGACAGGGACCAGGAGGGACTTGGGGGGCGGGGGGCGGGGCGGGGAAGGGGTCGAGGGAGCGCAGCGAGCTTCAAGTTAGCAGGCAGGATGGAGGATGGGAAGGGGGAAAAGGAGGGTCTGCACCCACATCCAAACTGAGAAACTGAGGTAGGAAAGCACGCCGTTTCTTATCCAACCCGACATCCACAGACCAGAAGAAGAAAATAAATAAATAAAGACGACCCCCCCCAAGAAAAAAAATAGATAAAATTTGGAAAGAAATAATAAGAACAAAAAAAAAAAAAAGCAAACTTACCCACGTAAGCTCCTAATTCCTGCAATTTCCCCTTAATGGCACTCTGAGGAGGGGAGGGAGAGAGAAAGCGCGCGGGTGAGCGACGCGGCCCCCCGCCAAGGCCGGGTGGGGGCGGGGCGGGGAGGCGCCCCCTCCCCCTCCAGCCCCGGCCCCGCCGCGTCCCCCCGCGCCCCCCGGGGGTCCCGCAGCCGCAGCGACGCCCCGCGGAGGAAGCCGTGAGGGGCCGGCCCCGCGGCCCTGTCCGGAACGCCCAGCGGCCAATGCAGGCCGCGGCGTCCGGACCGGGCCGGGCCGGGCCCCGCTCCGCTGCCCGCCCGCCCGCCCGCCGCCCCGGCCGGGCCTCACCCGGATCTTGCGGCTGATCTCGGTGCCGATCTCCATGGTTGCGCGGCGGGCGACGGACTCGGAGAGTGCGCGGCGCTCGGCGGCGGCGGCTCCGGCGCCGGCTTCGTCTCCACAGCCACCAGCCGCCGCCACTCAGGCCGCGCGAGCTGCGTAACCCGCCCCCAGCGGCCGGCGCGCCGGCGCTTGCGCCTGCGCCTGCGCCTGCGCCTGCGCCCGCGCCTGCGCGCTGCGGCTACCGCGCCGCCCGCGCTCTGGCGACCTCTGCTGGCCGCCGGGAGAGAGGCGGGTGGGCGCGCTTCTCGCCACATCACTCCCCCTCCTCTGCTCCCCCCCTCCCCGCCCTAGCTCTCATTGTTCTATTCATTTTTTTTTCTTTTTTCTTTTTTTTTTTGGCTTTGTGTGTTACACCCGGTGATGTCATGAATGTGGCTCTGCACTCAGGAATTACCCCTGAGTTGCGGAGCTGGGGAGGTGGAGGGAGAGGATGGGGCGAGGGGAGGACCATATGGGATGCCGTGGATCGAACCCAGGTGGGCCGCGTGCAAGATAGACGCCCTAGCCGCTGTACTACAGCTCTTGCCTTCCTTTCAAGTGTTCTTTTCTTCTTCGCGTTCCCCCCAACACACACACACACACACACACACACACACACACACACACACACATACACACACACACATTCGTTTGAGTCGCCCCTTGGGAAAATGAAGGCCTGTCCGGACAAACTCCGCGGGAAGCTTCCTGGAGCTCTGGCGTGAGGTCTGAGTTGGAAGTGAGCCTTCGCTTACCGCGAAATACCCCGAACCCGGATTCTGTTTATGGGTCACACCTGGCCGTGCACAGGATTGAACCCCCGATTGGCTGCGTGCAAAGCGAGCGCCTGACCGGGTGTATTGTTTCTCCCCTCCTTATATTTAGCGGGTTCGGGCTAGGACCACACCCGGTGGTGCTTACGGGGGCAACCCTGTGTGGTGTGTTGGATCAAACCGGGAGGTGCCACTTGCAAGGCAAGGGCCATGCCCCCTGGACTGTCTTGACTCAGATATTTACACCCTTGGGTCCGGCTCAGGTGTCCTACCTGCAAAATAGACTGACTCGTTAGATGCTTTTTAATTACACTTGGAGGAGAAGCGGAATATTCAGAGAAACAGAATCGATTCATCAGAGTCCTTTGACGCCGCAACTAATCCATGCTTCAGGCCAGACTGGTTCTTGTATTCTCTTTCTCTCTCTCTCTCTCTCTCTCTCTCTCTCTCTCTCTCTCTCTCTCTCTCTCTCTCATCCCACCCCCCCTCTCTCTCTCCCTTCTACCCTCCCTCCCTTCCTCCCTCTTCCTCTCCCTCCCTGCCTCTCTCCCCCTCCCACCCCCCCTTCTACCCCCCTCCCTTCCTCTCTCTCTCTCTCCCTCTTCCTCTCCCCCTCTTTCCCTCTTTGGAGAATTAATTATCCACACTTCAGTTGCTACCTCTGGGGTGTTAATAACCACATTTTCAACAGAGCTGTGTTCTCACCTAAACTTTACCACCCAGTTGGCAAGTCTAGAATCCAGGAAAATAGCTTAAAGTGGCGGAGTCCTGAGGCTGGTGGATAGGCCTAGAGTTTCCTAGCAGCACTGCTTTGTTGTGTCATCCCGTTAGGCCACCAAATGCAATTAAGATACCCCTTCCCTACCCCAAGTGTGTGAGTACCCAAACAAAGGTGGGAAGCCCCTTCCCCACCCCACTCCATCCCCAAGAACCTACAACCAAGGGTATCAGCACTGAGTCCTCTTGGTCAGGCAAGGGACTGAAAGATTAAAAAAGGAATTCTTCAGGCTTGCTCTTAGGGCCTGGTATCTCGATTACACGTCTATATGTCTCTGTTGGCTTGCTTCCCCCGCCGCCCCCCCCAGAAGGCCATGTTCTCTCTTGAACACACACACATTCTCTTTCTCTCCCCTCACATCTTTCTAAGTAAGTCTGACTCAATAAAAAATATTGTGCATAAAGAAGAAATGAAAGAAAAAATTATTGGGACCTGAGAGACAGTAAAGCAGGTCGAGCACTTGCCTTGCATGCCGCTGACTCAGATTTCAACCCCTACATCCTATATTGTCCCCTGAGTCAACCAGAAGTGATTCCTCAGTGCAGGGCTAGGAGTTAGCCCTATGTACCACCAGGTGTGGTACAACAGCAACAACAAAAAGGAACTCGGAATTTTTGCCTTTCTTCACCCAGATTGGTTTCTACTCCTGACATCCCTAACTCTATCAATAATAGCTGCCTGATTCTCCCTATATAAGATCACAAAAAAAGTCCTGAAATGAAGGTAAACATGGAATGAGGTTCTTCTCCCGTATCCATCAAGCTAGAAGTGGTCTAAGTTACCCATTTCTGCTAACAAATGATCACTCATGGACAAGACAACTTCAGACAAACACATTGATCATCTGGTTTCTCTGAGCTGGGAATCTAAAAGTAGCTTAGCTGGATCCTCTGCTCACAGTGTCACCAAGCCACAGTAGAGGATTCAGGCAAGCTGAGTTCTGCCCAAATGCGGGGGTGGGGGTTGAGTAAGGAAGAATCTACTTCCGGGTTCATCGAGGCTGTCACTTCCTTGTAGGTTTGTGAGTGGGACTTTTTTCTTGTCTGGAGGCACTCTGGGACCTTAGACGTGGCTAACAGTTCCTTGCCAATTGGGCTTTGCCAATACTGCTTAAGGAAGTCCTCAAAGAGTCTCTCATAGGGCTAGGCAGATAATTCAGCAGGTAAGGCACTAGCTTGCGTGCAGTCTGAGTCAGGTTTGATCCCCAACATTGCATATGGTCCTCTGAGCACCATCAGGGGTTATTCCTGAACACAGAGACCAGAAGAGCCTCTGAGCACAACCAGGTGTATCCCAAAAGCTGACCCCCACCCCCACAAAAAAAAAAAGAGAGAAGATGAAGAAGAAGAATTCCTCAAGATTGGAGAAATAGTTCAATGAACTGAGCACTTCTAAATGTAGTATTCCTGGACTCGATCCCCAATACCATAGGGTCCCCCAAGCATCACCAGGAGTGACTTCTGAGCACAAAGTCAGATGTAGCCCCCAATACTCATGGTGTAAGACCAAAACAAAAACAACAACAAAAAGCTTAGCCAGACCTTGCCCTTTTCTAAAAAGACTTTGACTTGATTCTTTAAGGACCACCCAAAATCTTTTCTCCTAGTCAACTGAGTAACCTTCATTACAGCTGCGAAATTCTTCATCTCTGCCACTGTCATGAGATACAAGCAAGTCTCAGGTGCTGCTGATACTAGAGAGAGAGAGAGAGAGAGAGAGAGAGAGAGAGAGAGAGAGAGAGAGAGATTAGGGCTGGAGAAATAATACAGGGGTTGAGGTGCTGCCTTGCATGAAGCCAACTCATTTCCCTCTCTTCACTGCATAGTGCCCTGAACACTGGCTTGAGCACAGAACCAGGACTAACCCCCAGCACCAGCAGGTGTGGCCCACCCTAACCCCACCAAAGAGAAAGAGATTAGACAAGGTGTAAATAGGCAAGAGTCATGGACCTCCATTGAGAATCAAACCATGATCCAACTCCAGCGCCACCATGCAAGCTCTTCTACCAGCCTTGCTTCAGAAACCCATGAATAAATCTTGAAAAAGGATCAAAAACCACAGTTAATCTTGGACCCATGCAAGGCTGAATAGACCAGAGTACATCGGTGGAGGGCATGTTAGTGTGCTGTCTGCCAAAGCAGAACTCCCTACAGTCACTTGCTTCCACAGTTCAAAATCACTGCTATACACCCAGCCAGGCTCTACTGTCTCAGGACAGACCTCACAGAGGTATAATCTGCTGAAAATCCGGGCATGTGGATTTTGTGACTGAAATCTCCAGGCTTTCTCAGGGTCAGGATGGGCTACCGCCCCACACCTCTCTGTTTATCTGGAAGGCTCAGCTGTCATGTCCACACCCCAAAGCTGCCACACAGTTAAAAAACTACACTAGCCTTACTGTCCGGATAAAAATACTGAATGCCATGAACAAACACCATGATCTCTTAGTACCTGTATTGCAGACCATAATACACAAAAGGGAAAAGAAAGAGAGAGAGAAAATGAAGAAAAGTGCCCCCCATAGATGAAGGCTTGGGTTGAGGGGTGGAATGTTGGGGGATGGTGGGAGGGGAAAAGGGGAATTGGGAAATGTACGCTGGTGGAGAGATGGGTGTTGGATCATTGTATGACTGAAATCCAATCATGAACAGCTTTGTAATGATCTATCTCATGATATTCAATAAAAAAATTTTTTCAAAGTTCATGAAAAAAAGAATCATGGGCCTTCAAGGCCACCAGCCAGATAAAAATTCAACTCCAGCTGTGTCACCTATGAAAAAAATTTGGACATCTCAAATTCTGCAACACTGATAAATCAGGAGTAGCATACCACATTCGATGGTAGGAGGCAACCAATCTCCAATAACAAAATATAAACACAGAACGCTTAACCTGTAACAACATTTTAGTAATCTCTTATACAAGGGCTTAATGACTCCATGGTAAGATACACCAATGTTCACTAACTTCTTTCTTTTTTTTTTCTTTTCTTTTCTTTTCTTTTCTTTCCTTTTCTTTTCTTTCTCGTTTTTCTTTTACATTGTAGAATTATTTTATTTTATCTCATTTTATTTTTTTAAGGACATGCAAATGGACAAAAAGGAATGAACTTCAGTCTGGGAGAAAAATCAATCACACTCATGCTCTAAGTCTTGGAATCAAAGGGTTCATGCTTTTGCTTCCTTTGGCTTGCTTTTGCTGCACGTGTGTGTTGCAGGTAGGGGGACGGCGGGGGGCGGAGGGGGGAGATGAAAGCCATTACTAACTTCCTTCTAAGGAAACATTTTTTGATCATTCTTTTAGCAAATTATAACAATCATATAAAATAAATTATTGAGAGCCTGCTACGGGGGCAGCCTTAAAGAGTGGTTGGGAAAATTGGAAATAATGGTGGTGGGGTTGGTGTTGAAATATTGAGTGTCTGTAATAAATCATCATGAACAACTTTGTAAAAATAAATGTATAAAGTGAAAAAAATCTGTGTGTAATGGCCTTTCATCTTTTATAAACCACTATTTTTTCTTTCTAAATTGCAATCACAGCTATGTGGGAATTTAGCTAGCGTGAGATGCCCAGTATATACTTG